CTCTTGATGCTTGAATTTCAAAATCCAAAATGAAGATTTAGTTTCTATTTTGATACCTAAAATTTCAAAATGAAGATTTCAATTTCAATCCCCTTCAAGACAATTACTCGTTGAGGTGTAATTTTTAATTGACATTATAATGTTTATTAATATTATATTATTTTTAAGCTTTACGTGACTTTTGATTTTTTTTTTCTCTTTCTCCTCTCTTCTCTCTTCTTCCCTTCTYAAAGAAGGATACATCATCTCGAATCACCATTACTCATTGTTGCTCATATTGCCATTCATTGTTCTAAATATGAAAGAAAAAGGCCAGGTTCCAAATTTGGTATGGAACAATGGTTTCATTCCATAAAAAATATGGAGATAGGTCTGCATAAGAAGTTAAAAATCATGGTTTAATAATTTGAGTACTTAATATTAATCTCAACGACCATTTAGATCTATTTCTTTGACTTTAAACTTTCTAAAAAAATTAAAAATCTTCGACTATAAAGGTTAAACTGTTACTTTTAAATCAGGGAGGCAAAATAAAAATCAAATCCAAACTTCATAAATCAAAATTTTAATTTACCAAGAAAATATATATATATATATATATTAAATACCATAAAATATTCACATCCTCTGAAACTAAAAAGGAGAATGATTTTTCTTTTGTCGTTTTACTAAGAATTTAAAAGAACAAGAAAAGAATAGAAAATAAAAAAACCCACCACAAGAAGTCACATCACATGACAACCAATAATTATGATTATAATTTAGTTTGACCCCTTAATATTAATTAATATAATAAATTATAAATTTCATCCGTAAACTTAGATAAGTATGTCTATTTAAAACTTAAAAAATGCCAATGTCGTTTTTAAATTCACTTTCTTTTATCATTAATATCATTAACTAACTACTTGATGATATAACATATTTATTAAATAAATATTAGTTTTTTTTTAATTCAACAGATAAAACATAATTCGAATCTATTACCTTTTGATCTAGAATATATACTTAAATCAATTTAGTTATGTTAGATTATCAAATGGTAGTTGGTTTAAGTGATCTACCTACAGTGAAAAAAGAAAAGGAAGAAAAAAAAAAGTAGAGTAAGCATCTACAATAAAGCAGCACAAGTCAAAGTCTAGACCATTCATTTTCTACCACTCGTCTTTTATGTTATAACAAATCAACTAATATTTATTTAATTATCCTGTCATTATAACTAATACATAAAATCAAAATTTAATATTCAGAATTATAATTATAATTTTTTTAAATAGTTAAAATATGTTTGATAATCATATTTTTTATTTTATGTTTTTAAAAATCATGCTTGATTTTTACCTTTTTTTTTTTTCTCTATAAGCTTTTCACATTTTTCTAAACACCATTGAATTAGACAACTTTAAAAAATAATAATATTTGTTTAAAACTATTTTTTTTTAGTTTTCAAAATTTAAATGAGATCTTAAAAATGTTTTTAAACGGAAAAAAACAAACAAATAAATATATAGGTGGAAGTTTAGGCTCAATTTTTTGAAAATACCGAAATGGTTTTCAAAATTGGCCATATTCAAATTTATAATTATATAACTGACTTTTCTAATTTAATATTATGAATATGTTGCGGGAGAATTAAGATTCTTAATAAATTGTTTAAAGTTTAATTATTAGTGCTGACATGGCATCTTGTGGGACGAGCATAATTGGGGGGATTGTCACGTTGTTTTAAAATAAATTAATCCTTAATTGAGATTATGGTAAAGTGACATTTAATAAAATATTCAGAAAGGAAAAAAAGAAAAAGAAAATAAACAAATTTAAAATATCTTTATAACGATTTTAATTTTTGTCATTTGTTTGTACTAAAGAAATATATATATTTTTTGTCATTTGTTTTTATCATAAAAAAATAAAAATTGTTATTTGCTTCCGAAAAATATGGCAACAAATTTATCTTATACTTTTCTCTCTTTTTTTTAAGTCATTTTTCTCTCTTTGTTTAGTGTTTTAGTCAATAGAATTTTTTTAGTACAAAAATATAAGAGTGAGAAATTCGAATTCTCAACCTATACATATGTTTTAACCGTGAAGTTAGCTAGTTAATAGAATCAACTATAATTTAATATTTAAAATTAAAATTATACTTAAAGATTCTACTAAAAAAACTATAATCTAAATTTTAAAAACTTTAAAAACATTCTCAAAATTTTGTTTTTGAAATATGATTAATATTTTAAAAGTCAAGATTTTAGATAACTAAATTGTCAGTGCACATATTAAATTTTAAAAATAGTATGAAAAAAATATTTTTAGTAAATGAGACTAATTATTTGACTTTGATTTTAAATAGTTCAAATTTTGTTAATAACGAATTTATTTTAAATTCTATTTCTAAAAGATCTTGCTCATAATTAGTAAAAATATATTTTAGATGTGACAGAGAGTTGATGAATAGGTATTGAAATAAAATATGTTATGTAGTATATGGTAAGGATGCAACCATCTGAAAATAATTAACTAAATTATAGAAATTAAATTAAAATATCTAAATTATAGAGATCAAATTAATTGAAATTAAATATAAATTATAGGAACTAAAATAGTAATTTAACCTTAAATTTAACACACAAATAATTGATGTCTAAAGTATACTTATCTTACCAATAAAATATAAATGATGTTCACCCACTCTAATCAAATCTTAAAATATAAGGTATATTTCAGAGAAATTTTGATCTAGAAAACGTCAAATAAGTGGAAGAACTTGCAAAATAAAAGTAAGCATTCTAAAGAGTAAGTTAGTTAAGGTCCGATCTATCTTGTCGCAGGTCAAACAATCAATTTCGCGTACTTACGAGTGGAGTGGACGATGGGAACCGTCATTCGACCACTTTGCATGTCTCATGAATATAATGATTAATTCCATTATTATGGTAGAGGGGAGTTTAACGGTTGTGCATCAATTGTCTGCAAGTCTTGGTTTGATCGAACTTTAAGAATGAATTATAGGTTGGAGTGGACATTTTCAAAGTATTGTACTCTGGATTTTGTGTAATCCATGGTGGATTTGTGTTGTTTTTTGTTAATTAAAAATGAAAATAAAACTTTTAAAAAGATTAAAAATACTTTTAAAAGATATCACTTCTTTATATAATCCAAGTGGGTGAGTTGGATTAGGCAAAGTCTCGAAAAAAGAAAAATGCTTTATTTCAAATGTCAAAAGGCTAGCCATTTTAGTTTCTGCAATTTATATATTAACTATATCATATCAAATATTTTTTCTTTAATAAGGTCCTAGAAATTCGACATTACAAATAATTTACAAACGTGGCCCATCTGACATTTTATTTTAAAAACGTAGGAATTTAACAAATCGCATAAAGTTTTGCACTAACCACGTAATAGTTTAGCATATCAAGATTTAGAAACTGTGATAGATTTAAAAACATTATTAATTTATTTTATGCACGTTTAAAAACATTATTTTGATTGAAAAGATAGGTTGAAATTTTTTATATTAGTTTTTCTTGCTCGGAGAGTGCAGCTACAATAATTTACCCTCCTTTTATATTTCTTTTCTTTAATATGATAATTAACCTTCTTTATGAGATTTTTATAAATAATATTTTTATTTAAACTTATTTTTAAAATAATACAACACTAATCAAATTAAATAAAAAAATACTTCTTTTGAAACTTATTTCAAAACTAATGCTTTTGAAATTGTTGAGCCACCTGGTCTTCAGAGACGACCATCTCATTTTAAGCAGTTGGTCGTCTCTCGACCATAATGACGTGGTGCCAATAAAAAAATTAAGACATGTCTCTTGAAGAGACGGCCATTTGTTGGCACGCATTTTGTGGTCGTTTCTTCAAAAACGACTACAACAACCTTAATTTTTTAGGAAAAAATAAATATTATTATATATTATATATTAAATAGTAGAACTTTTTATTGAATATTAGTTAGTTGTGCAGGGGATTTTTTCAACATTTTTTTCATTCGTTTTGTCGGTTTGAGCTTAAAAAATTGCGTTACTTTTGAAACACGGGTTTCCAACATTTCCGTGTTGAGGGCATCCATTTTTTATATTTCTGTCATTCATTTTTTTCTCCATATATTTTTTTCATCAAAATCTTTTTATTTTTTCTCAAAAAAATCTTTACTTTTATTTTTAAAGTAATAATTAAAATCAATTAATATACTCGTCATCTAATAAGCAGCTTTATGCTATTAAATATACTTGTACATTAGATTTACATGTAAAATAAATTGCAATTAAATTATCTAATATCTCCATTTATTTCGAATAGTTTGAGGGAATTACATTATTAATATTATTTATTATCATAAATATATAATTGTAAAGCAATCTTTTTTTTTTTACAACTAATATACGTGTGATGTTTTTCTTCTTAAAAAAATATAATATGATAATAGGATAAATAAATTTCACCCAATATTACATAAATTAATATGAATTAATTTGTTGAACGAAATAACATATAAAAAAATAAAAATATTAAATTGATTCAAATAAGTCTATTATATTAAATGAGTTTATAAATTATATAAACATTCATAAGGGTATTTATGGAACATCCTACCAAACAAACGTGGCTATTTCCAAATATCCTTATAAATTTTCCTACGAAACAAATATAGTTATCTAAACACGTCGGACATCTAAAATTCTGGGCATCTAAAATTTCAAGCATCTATAGATGTCGGGATCTACATTCTCGAAAACCAAACAGCCCCTTAAGCTTATATATATATATATATATATCACACAACAACACGCTGAAGTTGATATTCGAACTCACCGAGATTGGCATTTTGGTTGAAGATTTATTTCTTAACTAATTGAACTAAATTCAAATAGATTAAAATAATTTAATAATACATTTCACCATGTTTTTATTTAATTTTTTTGGTGAAGGAGAGAAAACTTCATTTATTATGAAAATTAAACTCATAAACAAAAAACACCAATAACTAAAATTACAATAATACAATACTTATAAACCCACGAAAACCTAGACGGAATATTTAACTTTTTCGAAGATTACAGATTCCTATCAGACAGTCCGGTGCGCCCAAGTCCACAGAAACCCAGTGCACTCGTTGACCACGATCAAACCTTAGCGGTCGATTTGGTCAACGATTTGATCTTCACTGTCCATCCGAGCGACGACTGAGTCCCCTCGACGGTAAACGAGTCGTAACGGAGGAAGAGCTCCACCAGAATTAGCCTGGCCACCAGCACCACCAGATCCTTCGCCGGACACTGCTTGTTCTCCGCCGTCGGCTCCTCCGTCTCCCGGCCGTTCGACCAGTAAACATAATTCAGAAGCTTCTCCCCTTTCTCTCCGACGAACCTGTCGCCGACGAACTTCTCCGGATTCTCGAAAACCTTCGGGTCTCTGGTCGCGATCGGCTGATACCCAAAAATCATCTCCCCTTTCTTTATCTTGTAGGAGAAATCGTGGCTTTGGATCACGATATCTTCTTTCGCCCGCGCGTACTGGTACGGCACCGGCGGGTCGATCCTCAGAACCTCGTACACGACGGATTTCAGCAGCCTCATCTTCTCTATTGCGCCCAAAGTCAAGCCCCCTTCTTCCTTGACGACGGTTCTGACCTCCTCGGCGAGCTCCCGGTGGAGCCCTTCGCCGGCGGACCCGACCCAATTGAGCAGAATCGGAAGCATCACCTTCATTCCGGCGTACGCGTTGAATCCGGCCAGGAACACTAAATTGTGGCAGGCTTCCTCTCTGTCTATCCCCTGTCTCTCTGCTTCGTCCAGAAACGAAACAGAGGATGCGTAAAACGCATCGTACAGCTTCCTGAAATCACAACTCCACGATAAAAGATCTCGAAATAGTTTATAATAGACCTCAATGCTCTTCTCGTTGTTAATTAATTTGAGATATAACCTATGAATATGAATATTGATATAGTATCATACAACAAGTATTCAGTCTAAAAATAGAATTCATAGTTAAAGATCCTAATGGGCTGCTACTAATTGGTCTTGAGATGTAAATATTGATACGGTTTCAATCAAATGAATACGATTATTACTTACAAATTGAATTTCATGTACTAATCATTCTCACCTGTAGGAACTTTTGACGGGGAAGAAGGGCAATGGAAAAGTGTGGATGACGAGATCTTCGAAGCAGCTGAGGAATTTGGGGAGGCCGGCAGAAGCCAACGGCGCGAGCTGCATGGCCAGCCATTTATCGACAAGACCCGGCCCCTCGGATCCCAATTTCTCGTCGGGGCTCCGATCGGTGAGCAGCCGGAAGATGAAGTCAAACGCCGCCGCGTCACTCATCGGATTGAAATCGGCGGCAGCGGCGTTCTTTTCCTCCAATTTCCCGTCCAGCTTATCGAACATATCCGACAAGGAGCTCCGGAACAGGGGAACAAACTTGTCGTGGCGAGAGGCGAGAAAAGAGAGGAACAGGCGCTTGAGAGCAGAGTGCTCTGGCTCCGACGGGTCAAGAAAAGCGCACGTGCGAATATTGCCGGTGAAGGCCACCGACGGCATGTAAGTTCCGTCAAGAACGTTGCGTTTCTCGACCTTGGTGGTGTCGAAGAGGATCGGAAAACTGACAGCGTCGAGGAGGACGATGACTCTGGAATCGGAGGAGATGAAGGGACCTGGCGGCATGTTGACCCGGAAAACGGTTGACCCGTATTTACTCATCCGGGTTCGGAAGAACTTTTCTCGGCCTTGGATGTAGAAGTAGTCGTAGCGATCCTTGATGGGCCCAAAAATGGAGAAGCCGTAGCCGCCGGGAATGGGTTTCAGTGGCCGTTCGGAGGAAGAAGAAGAGGAACTCATTTTGATGGGCTCTGTTTTGAGGGAAATGAAAGAGGGAGTGAATTATTATAAAGCAGAAGTTCAGCTTTCGCCAGCGAACTTTAAGTTACTTTAAAAAAAAAAATGATTGTTTTTAAATGTTATGGCTTAAGAAATAAAAATGTATTCCACGTGGTTATTAAATTATTGCTATGCTTTAGATTTAATTTGCGTTCACATTGGTGGCGACGGATGTTTTTATTCTAGTGAGGTGACTAAAGGGGTAGAAGTAAGTAGGGAGGTTGATTTTACCCACGGAGGCCTGCCTAAATAGGGTGGGAATTCTGTTTAAATTTTCCATGGGACATGGGAAAATTTTTTCCTGTCCCCGGCGATGAGAGATGCATTCTCTATCCTCGTTCCTTGTCTTCCACCCGTCTCGTTTTTTATTCTTTCTATACTTACATATACTAATAAAATCATATTTTCCTCTACTCACTAAATATATAGGGGATTAGATCAGGTAAATAAAATTTTTATCATTGAAAATTAATTAATTAATTATAAATTTCCTTAGGAAAAATGTTTAATTGAGAAATAATTTTAAAAGTAAAAGAATAGAACGGGGAACCTGATCCTTGTGAATTCTTCGCAGGGAATCCCCACCTTGATCCCCGCGAAATTTCATGGGGAATTTTGTGGATCGGGAATTAAATGGTGGGTGGGGATGGGGACGGGAAAGCCTTATCCGTCCCTGCCTCGCCCCATGAACATCCCTAAAAGTAAGTGTAGGTTGGATTTTTTTCCTTCGATCAACTTGTGCGTACATTGACTAATCTCATACAATAATTGTTTGATCTTATTATACTTGGTTGTCAAGAAAATTGATAGAATATTAAATCCTAAATAGGCGGTGTTAGAATCCATATAAATGAATTAAATTTTCCAAATCCATCAACTTAAGCTTTTGGGTTGAGTGGTGATTTCTTCATTCTTAAGAGGTGGTCATCACGGGTTGGATACGTTTCCTGACCTATGTAGTACTATAGCTAACCTGTGAAGTGTTCTTGACAAATTAGTAAAGAAATTGACCATTCATTTGATAATGGCTCAATTTGTGACAAAATGAAATAAAATGGATGAACTTCTTTAAAGTAGGGTCGGTGTCCTATTCAAAAAAAAGCCATCGAGCTAAGCTTTTCCACCTGTGGCGGATGTTTGATTCCTTCCAAAAATCAAACCTTATTTTCCATTTAATTATCTATTTTTTTACAAAATAATTTATTGCTTTTATTTATTTAAAAAATATCAAACCTCATTTTTATATTTATAGTAATACATTTTTTATTTTAAAAAATAACAAAAAAATCCAATGATTATTTTCCTTAATTTATTCTGCCCACCAATCATACATTGATATGTCTCAGACTTCATTGTGGAGTTCATGTGAGAAGACGAGATGGAGTTGGTCTGAGAAGATGACCACAATGTGAAACATGACTCATTTTGATCTTATATGTAATCTTTTTGAAATTTGTTATAACTTTTATATAAACTTCACTATAATATACATTAAATTAAATTAAAGTGAGGATGCATTCGGTTGCAATAATTCGGTTGCAATAATGTAATTTAAATGAAAATTTCGTAAAATGGAGTGGTTTTGAAAATAGATTACGATTAAACTACTATTAATTTCCTTTCATTTTAGTTCCGATACTTTTAAAATACTCATTTTAGTTCACTATACTTTTAAAATATTCGCTTTGATCATGTACTATTAAAAAGTGATCATTTTGGTCTTTATTTGCAAATTAAAGTGAGGATGCATTCGGTTGCAATAATTCAACCCATCTACATATGATGAAATTCAATGCTAAACAAGATCGATTTTTCATTTAAAGTGTGAATATATTGTAAGAAAATAATCCAAAAATAAATCATTGAGAAAAAATAACATACCAACGCAGTGATTCAATGAAATTCAACGCTAATAGAGAGCAAGGAAGAGAAAAAGAGTGTACGAACCTTGAGAATAATGAAATCAGAAATAAGGAAACAAGATGGTGAAATCAATAATAAGGAAGAAGACGAGTGGATTCACTTCTATATTTTTAAAATATTAATTTTGTAATTACAACTTTTAACAATGGTTTATTTTCATCCGTGCACTTGTACAAAAATTATCGTGGAAAAACTTCAAGCCGAAGAAAAAATCACGGCCTATAAGGAAAAATCCACTATTGAAAAATTATTACAATCACACCGATTTTCTGATCTCTCCGACTCCAACTACACAAAACAMTCTTTTTAATCAAATAAGCTCAGTAAACTAGAGTTGATATTTCAATTGAGATGATTAAAACACAAGCTCATGAGCTACTAGTAGTTGGAACACACCTCTTATTGTACCTTTACGACGTACGATGTGGGACAATTTCTAGTATTTTGAGTTCATTTCTTGTACTTTTCCAATATAGAGACAACTTCCATTCTAATATTTCGTCAAAACAGGTCATATGATTGTTTAAATTTTATAAGCTAGTATTATGCCTAATTTATCCCATTTAAACATAGAGTTGTTTTAACTCAATTAACAAAGTCTATTCTAACATTCATTTTTGTTAATTAATTTTGAAGTTTTTGTGTATGGCCCTCAACGTTGGACAACTAACTCAACATATGTGATGTGGATTGTGCTTGTAATCTCACTGGCAACCATATCTTATCTCACATACTTATCATCTTACATATTTTACTAACTTATTTTAATCAATCAAGATATGATCTTTGCTAATTAACTAATTAATTAATTTACCTTAGAATAAAACTTAACGTTACAAATGTACCTATGCTTTGGTGACACATGTTCATATATAATATTTTATAATTATTTTAGTGAAGATATTAATTCAACATTTGGTCAAAATATATTTTATTTTTACCATTATTATAAACAACGAGATAATTATCCATAACTATTCCCTAACCAATGTGAGACTTATTTGTTTCACTCTTTGCAACCCCAACAATCACTCTGTGGATAAAGTACCTCAATACTTGTATCTTGCTCGAGTAGTCATTCATCCCTCTACAATTTTCTAGGTTGTAATGAGAAAATAAATTTTATATTTAACTTATATAATTATGATATTTCAACTCAAATTAATAAACTATTATTTTTTAAACAATTAATAAACTATTATTGAAGCATAAACATGCTCCTGTCCTTTCTGATATATTCATTCTCGTTTTCTTTTAATAAAGATAAAAGAATTAATCTCTCCTTTATTTGGTGACTTCGTTCTCACTAACAACAAAGGAAAGGAGCCAAATAAAATAAAAGAAGATAAATTCTTGGAGTAACTCTTTTAAAACAAAATAAATGTCAAATTCACTGAGCAATTTAAAATGATAAAAATATTTTCTTCACAAATATTTGAATGGATTTTCATCCTTTTTGTTCTATTTATTTTCGTACCTGTAAGAGCAAATAATTAAAGAAACAAGAATTTTATTAATCTGAACTCAACAGTAGCATGTTATTTTTTCATGATAATTTTATTCCCTCTCTATAATGCTCAAGTTAGAACAATTGTCTCCAATATAAAACGGATTATTAACATGTGAATGCAACGCTTTAATCGTAAGATTCAAGAAACACTAGTATTTGAGCAATCGTACAATAAATAGAAGCATAGGAGGAATTAGATAGAAGATTTTTTCCTTTTATTCAAAATTGAAAATGAACCATTTATTTACCGACGATTGACAAAGAATATACTCTCTCATATGAAGTTGTATCCTTTACAAAGGATACTTTGGCGTGGTTCGTTCTTATTCTTTTAATTAAAAATTGTACTAATAAATTCAAAGATTACCTATTGCATTTATTCCTCTTTTAACTTTAAACTTTTTTGGACCAATTCATAGTTCAGTAGATAAGATTTTTTTTAGGTGGAAGATTGATCTCTCACCCCTATAATTATTTAACTAAAAAAAACCTATATTTAAATTGAGTATGAATTGATTAGTTAAAAAATTTATAAATAAATTTAAGAGAAAACTCGTTTTTACCTCCTTACCTTGTGGTATCAATTTAACTTTAAGGTTTTAATTTCGTCATATTGATAGAGTAGGTGAAATTAATACCTCATTAAAATTAAGTTAGAAGATTACCCACAAACTAATTTATACATAACTAAAGGATCTTTTATTGATATTTAAAAAAAACTATGTAAATATATTTATTTCAAAACTAATTTTTAAAATATTGTAGTTTTAATTTGTGAAGCAAGGTCGCCGTCTCACCTTGTCCAAGTAGTCAAAGGTCATTTCTTAGAGATTTTTCCCTTGGTGGCTTATGATCTTAATTACTATGGAGATGTAGATTTCATTGTTGTTTTTTCTTTTATTTTTAATGCATCTTTCAGAAAAGAAAAAAAAAAAACTTTAGTACATAATTACATAAATACTTGTATTTGAGTGTTAGGCGTGTTAGCTCAAAGATAATGACATCTTTTATCTCATAAAATACTTGGTCATCTTAGAAACTTATACGAGATGAGCAAGGATTGTTGGGATAGGAAAAGGGGAAAAAAAAAAAAAAAAGCCCAATTTACCTCCCTTGTCTTTAGATTTTGTTTTTATAACAAAATTTTTGGTTGCTAGCGGCCTACCTCAATTTTGACCGTGGGAATTGAATCCTTTTGTGTTGGTGCACAAATGTGGCAGTGGCGGGAAGTAGTGTTTGCAGAGAACAAAATGAGAAGAAGGGTTTGTAGTGCGTTGTCGGCAACCCGTTTTCTTGAGGTCAGTGGGGTTTTTCGTTCTGTATTCCTAAGTATCTATTGGTGTAGTTCTTAGAAGCTAGGTGGTCATTGTTGTGGCATCTAGAGATCTTTGTAGAGCGTTTGTGAAGTCCATTATAATTATCCTAATATCATAGTAGAACCCGTTGTCGCAGAAGACTGGACGTAGCCCATAGTTAGGGTGAACCAGTATAAATTCTCTATGTCGTTTGTGTGCTATTCTCTATTTTTTTTTATTATTGCGTGTGACTTAGTTTTCACTACGAATTGTGGAAGGGGAAAATATTATTGATA